GTTGCTTATATTGATTACCAAAAGGCATTTGATTCTGTGCCCCACTCGTGGCTTCTTAAAATTTTGAGAGTTTACAAAATTAATAATAGAATTAATTTTTTACTATCTAAATTTATAATGAAGTAGACAGCAAAATTAAAGTGCAGGGACCCACCTTCCAACAATATATTTATTAGAAGAGGCATTTTTCAGGTGATTTTTTAAGCTCTTCATGGGTCTGTCAGGCATTAAATACTTGCTCTAGACAGCTGAATGATAGTGCCAAGGATTACAAGCTTAATTATCAGAGAAATAGCCTTGATGTTTCACACTTAATGAATCTGGGCAATATTAAGTTATTAGAAAGCTCTCCTGATAAACTGAATAGTCTCTTAAACATCATTGAATCTCACAGCACAAATATCAAAATGAATTTTGGTGTTAACAAATGTGCTATTATCCACATGAAAAGGGGGAATGTTCAGAGAGCACTTATTAAGAGTTCAATAATGGACAGTCAATTCAATGTGTGTGACAGCAGAAAACCTAGAAATATCTAGACATCCACATAAATCTCAGTATAAACCATAAGAAACATAAACAGTTACTGAGAATAATTATTTTTATAGAGTGAAGTTCAATACAAAAGAAAAAAGTAGTATTAACAGTCTATTGGAACTGTGGACTAGAAGTACAGCGATCTTGATGATTTAAATAGTCATCCTGTCAAAATAGCATTCCCATTATCCAGAGGTATGTAAAAAGTGCCTTTATTTGCCACAAAAAAATGGGCAAGCATAGAATTGTTCACCTCAATAACCTCTTTATGGCTCAAATACCCAAACTTTGAAACTACTTCCATAGGAGAATGGCCCCATGTCATCAGATGGCCCCATGTTATCATCACAATTAAGTCACTGATGAAGTGACTTAATTGTCCAGTAAAAATCTAGAAAGCCTTAGAACCTTATCTTACAGCTTTTGGTTTGTTAATATCTAAGCCAGTATGGCAGACAGCTTTATTTTCAGTCCTTTCTGTTTTTTATGAAGCTAAGGTGTCCTGCTTTTCACAAGGCTATTATAGTACTCATTGTAGCTATTATAACACCCAAGTATGGTCATCGAAGAATTTATTGACATTGTTAAAGACTGCCATGCTTAAAAGTTGAGGAAAAAATGAAAGGATGTGTGAGGGAAACAGGCTGAGGCAAGAACGATGTAGACTACATAAGATATGACTGCACTGGTCCTTTTAGTATGGATTGGTGCAGTCTAAATAGGGCCACTTGAGGCCAGGGAAGAAGCAATATGCCATTGGATGCGAGCCTCTTGTTAAAAAAGCAACCCTCCAACCCCTTCTTCTGTCAATTGTCACTTCCCCTGTTTCTCCCTAGAGAGGCAGGGGAAGTAAAATCATTATTTTTGCCTGTGTTCAATCACTGTTGATGCACTGAATCACTTAGATGAAATGTATTTTTTTTTCTTTGCCTTGTGTATAGTGCCAGTCAAAACCACCTGCAGCTGTATTTTCTATCAGCACTTAACATAAAGGGAGGGTTGTTTTAATTTAACCTAAGTGATTCAGTGCAACAGCAACAGTCTAGCACTGGCAAAATAATAATAATTTCACTTTCCCTGCCCCTTCACAGAGGAGCAAGAGAAATGTTGAATTTGTCAGTATCCTGAATCAGCTCACTTATTAAGCCACCTTATGATACTCCTGGCAAATAGAAGGGGAATATATCTATAAAAGAGTCCAACTTCCCTTCCCTTCCCTTGGAGGGGAAGACAGGAGAAGATGCAGAAGTAGATTTCTTTTCTTCTTCTTTTTTCTGTGGATTCAGAACTATATCACTTGGATGATAAACCAATTAAGCAATTTACCAACAATATAGATTATGCAATATAGAATCAATACAGATTAGCTTGGAGAGATGGGACAAATTACAGCTATCATTGATGGGAAGAACAGCAACCATCAAAATGAATGTTCTACCTAAAGTTTTATTTTCATTTCAGACAATTCCCATGATATTAAAACAGTCATTTTTTAAAGAATTTAACAAAATAATCCTGAGATTTGTGTGGCTAGGATTAAAATCAAAGCAATGCAAGATGCCAAACAAAGAGCAGGTTTTGGTCTCCCAGATTAGGTATTGTATTATAGAGCCTGTGTATCTGGATAAAGGAATGGATAACTTTAGATAATGATAGACTACTCAAGCTGGAAGGACATGATTTACAGTTAGGTTGGCATGATTTTCTATGGTATAAAAAAAATAACTGTTGAAAGACTGTCCAGTACAAAAGGCAACTGAATGATGGTATTCATTATATAAATGGCTTGAGTCACCAGATAGTACTTGAATAACATAGAATTAAACTAAGATGTAACTGTAAGTTGAAACCTGGAGGGCAATCAAGTTGTAGAAAGGCAGAAAGTCAGCTTGATAGCTCAACATGAACAGTTTGGATGACAGTACATTTTGTGTTCTCCTTCCCCGTCTTTTCCCCCCATATCCCCCTTTACCTTTTGTATTCCTTACCTTTTCCCTAGTTGTTAAAAATAAAAAAATAAATTTAAAAAACCCAGTGATAATAGATTCCAGAAATGGAACTAAAATGAAGTAATCCTACTCACCCTAAAAATCGTAGCCTTACCAGTAATCTAGAAAAGGAGAAGGTAGCCAAGAGTCACTCCAGTTCACAATTACTTGTACATTATGTAGCGCTGGCAGTAGGGTTGAACCAGACTGTCCCAACTGGGGGACAAAATGTATGATAAACTGTAATTCAGCTGCCCCTTTAGTCTGTCCCAGCAAAACCAAGAAAGGATCTTTGAAGACAAACCAGTGATATTGTGTAGAAGCTTTTGTGGATTGCAGCCAACATCAACTGATGAAGCATGCTACGATTCTCAAACATTTAAACCCAATAAAATGTGTCAGTATTAAGGTACAGTACAACTGGAATCTGTTGTATGGTCTGGGAAGTGGCAGGCTGGCTGTATTGCAGGAGGCACACTGGTTAATTGAATTCCCAATTTCTGGCTCCACAACCAGATATCTAAACCACTGAAATCTGGCTATAGCAAGCTGAAAAGGAAGTTCCTGTGTTTCCAGATTATAAACAATTCCTAAAGAACAGACACAATTACTGTTTTGAAAGGTGAAACACAGTTAGTATTATAAGAACCTTATTTATCAAGTACAATCAGCCAGTTAATTTACCAAGACACGTTAGCGTTGCCAGTTAAGCAATTATCCTACATTATTAAAGGACAAAATAATACTGCTGGCTCTTCATGGGCCACTGGTTTCTAAACTTAAAAGTGAAGCGTGCTTTTACAAATGACGTTCCAGAAAGACCGTTTGACGACAGCAGATCAGACATAAACCCAATGCAGACCTAATTGTGATCCTATTTGGATGACCTGAGTTCAGCCACCATCATGGATGAGAGAGGTTGGCTGCATCCTTTTGCTCCAGCCCTGTAGATTCCAATGGCGAAGGGTTCCTGTTTCTAGCACCAAAAGGTACTTGCACCCCATTCTGATAGACCAATAAGGTAAAGGTAAAGGTTCCCTTTGACATTTAGTCGAGTCATGTCCAACTCTAGGGCACGGTGCTCATCCCGGTTTCCAAACCGTAGAGCCAGCATTTGTCCAAAGACAGTTTCCATGGTCACGTGGCCAGCACAACTAGACACAGAACACCGTTACCTTCCTACCAAGGTGGTACCTATTTATCTACTCGCATTTATATGCTTGCGAACTGCTAGGTTGGCAGGAGCTGGGACAAGTGACAAGAGCTCACTCCGTCACGTGAATTTGATCTTACGACTGCTGGTCTTCTGACCTTGTAGCACAGAGGCTTCTGAGGTTTAACCCGTCGCGCCACCACATTCCTGATAGACCAATACCAGGCTTTAAAAAAAGATGATGTGCACACTACTTACAGACATCTCCTCTAAGAACAGTGGCGGAGTCTGAGGTATTGTAGTGATCTGTCTTTTCTTTTCTTTTTCTTTCTTTCTTTCTTTCTTTCTTTCTTTTTTGGGGTGGGGAGTTAATTGACATTTTAAAAGTTGGGGAGAAAATAAGATTTACCTCAGGAGTGCATAACTATGGTGGGTCACAGACCACACTGGCACTTCCTGAACATGCTGGGTTTGTAATAATTACAAAGATAAAAATAGGATCTGGCTAGGCTTTTAAAATTGTTTTCTTTATGCAGCTTGAGAGCATCTCTTAATTGCTGGTTGCTAATTCCGCATTCTTTATCAAACCAATTGTTATCAGCCTGTCATCTTCTAGAAAAAATCCTCCTGCTGCTCCTACCTTCTTAGTCAGGAAGGGTCTTAAAGTTTTGCTTGATTTACCATACAGTGCCAAAGCAGAGCTGATGCCTTTGTCTGCATAAATTTTCCCTTTCAGTTCAAGCATGAAATCACCCATTAGGGTTTACTGTATTTTGAGCTGAAGTGCAGGGGCCATTTCAGTACAATGTCTCCTCTCACTTCAGTCTGATCTATTGGAAAGGAACTGCCTGTTCAATGATTTAATGAAACTTCAGGAATGTGGACCTCAAATATAAGGGGGCTTGGTGCACTGTGTTGAATTGATATTTATATTGTGTATTCTGCCAAGGCCTGTGTGCTATGCAATAAACTAAATTCGATTTGAACAAACACTGGGGCACTACACCACGCTGCTGCTGTTGTTGCTGCCTGTGTCTCCACTGCTGCTGCTGCCAGGACATTTGCTGCTGCAAAGGAATAAATACCTTCTTTATAAGGAGAGTCATACTTCCAGAAGTCTGTCAGAAGCAAGCACTCCTCTTGAAGCAAGGTTCACAGAGAGTGCTTGTTTTATATGAAAAAAATGGATAGATGCTATCATTACCTGTCCAGCAGCACATTGGGTAGCAACAACAACACAAAAGCTTCAGAGGAGCATTAAGATAGCCAGGGGACAGTCTTCAAAGACTCATTTCCCATCCCCACCCAAGGAGCATTAAGATAGCCAGGGGACAGTCTCCAAAGATCCCGTCTGACTCATTTCCCATCCCCACCCCGTAATTCCTTTTCTGTGGAGTTGGAACAAATTGTCACGATCATTGTCAACTTTAAGAGGATGCCAGCTATAATATTATTTTTAGATCAGACAGTCGGGAAGATACAGGAAGATATCTGAAGACACAAGCTATTTTCACAGAAGAATGTGACACAGGTTTCACATCCTATTGCTTAGAACCCCTGGGTAACTCACCTTGTAAAGCAGGAAGCACCTGGGCTGAGATGTATGTTTATATAAACACACATATAAGGCACTTACGTGAAGCAAGGAAATCCACACAGGAGGCAGCAAATTCTTCACAACTTCCTGGAAAAGAAAGGTAAGAATCATAAAACTTTTGAAAAATCCGTTTTAGAATACTCTGTCTTATGAAAAAATTCCTGAATTTGTTTAACTAGGCAACATCATAAAAATGTGCTCCTATAGTTTTTACATGTAAACTATAGAAACCACTGTCTTGTGAAGATTCATAAATATATATCACAGCTGTTTCATGGCATTTGCAGAAGGAGGTTTCTGAAAGAATTAAAGTATAGGAATTGAACTCTCTGGATCAGGGAAAAACCACAGGCAAGACCAAGTGAGAGTCTAATTTAAGAGTAGAATGGCGGTCAGAATAAAGCATCAGTTATGTTCTAATAGATAATCAACATCAGCATCTTCACACTGCAGAGGTAGAAGGGACCGAATCAAGCCCAGCCCCTCTCAAGGAGGCACAAGTGGGGAACCAAACTCCCAACCTCTGGCTCTGCAGCCAAAGACGTAAGCCACTGAGCTATCCAGAAGTTCATACTCCCTTCATAATGCCCCTTGCCGTTGGTAGAGATATTATCTAAAAGTCTAAATTGTCATATTGCTTGGTGTATGTTATTTATTTTCACAGCTAACCCAGCCAGCTAGTGTTGCTGTTGTTATTATTGTCATTGTTAATTTTTTGACTTTCCGTCTTCACTGCTCAGGGCGATACGCATAGTTTCCTACTGTCCAATGACTATGCGGGCTAAGGCTGATGGAAGGTATAGGTTAAAAATACATTTTCCCCTCTCCTACCTGAAGGATGTGGCTGCCATCCTTAACTACTAATACCGAAGAAAAAATCACATTGAACAGACCTAATTATCTTTCTTAAGTAAGCATGCATCCTTAACTACTAATACCGAAGAAAAAAGTCACATTGAACATACCTAATTTTCTTTCTTAAGTAAGCATGCCCAAAGAATTCTGCTACTTGTCACCTATCAGTAGAAAGAGTGGAGCTTGGAATGTTCGTAGGTTTTTTTTCCCTAAATGTTCTCTTTGCACTGCTCACTGCTTTCCAGCAAGGTTGCTATTATTATCATCATCATTACTATTATTCTGCACAGAAAAAGAATAACCTGAAATTCATATTGGTGACATGTTACTTTTTCTTTACCACCATGACATGAAAAGTGGGAGAGAATAACCAATGCTTATTTTTCTCTTTGAAAATACTTACAAAAATTTGAAAGATGAGACATTATACTTTCTTTTCAACTTGAGATTGCTAAGAGAATGGCCTCTTCCACCACTGGGGCTTCTATGTTTTTTAAAAGCAGAACTATTTGCATCAGTTCAGACAGTGCGATCACTTGAACCAATACAGAAGAGCACGTGCAGGGCTGGTGCTGGTTGATGTGATAGCACAGCAGCTGTTAGAACACTAGGAGGCC